AGGGGGAGTGGGCCAGTGTGACTGGAGTTCTGGGAAGGAGGGTGGAGCAGAGTTTATCTGGGCAGATATGATGCGAGATGAGCTTATTGGGCAGGGCAGCACACCACCTTGAGTCTGGACACTACAGGATTTGTGAGCTGTGAGAGCACTCCCCCAGCTCCAGGGGAAGTGAGCCACAGAGCGGAAGACTAGAAGCAGGATAGCCAGGTGGTAGCTTGTTGTGGGTATTTGTTACTGTACTGTGAGTCTCCCAGAACTGAGTGTAAAACTGCTGCCGTACTTTACAGATCAGGAGCTGAGGCAGAGACACCCTGAGACTGCAGAGCTCTTACCCTAGGAACACTGACAAGGTTGGGTGTGACTTGAGCTGGAATCATCTAGATCTTCTCCCACCATGTATCTGCCACCTGAGTGGGGCTGGCTGTGACGGCCGAGGTCTCACTGAGCTGCTCTGTCTGTAGCTTCTCCGTGTGGGTGTTCTTTGTGGTCTGTCCTGCATCATGGCTTCTGGGTTATGGGATTTCCATGGTTCCTCAGAGCTCCTAGGACAATGGTGCAGTGCATCAGGCCAAAGCTGCAGGGTCTTCTGGGACGTAGCCTCAGAGTCACCTGGTTTCACTTCCACTGTCCTTGTTGGAGGGGAGAGGCCTCAGACTTTAAGATAGTAAAAGTGTCAAGGACATTGTGGCCATTCATGTTTTGGAACTCTGAGTAATCTCTGTGGGGGCTGATGAGGTCGAGACCTAGACCAAATATGTATATGCTATTGTTGTTACTGGGTGCTAACCTTGCCCTCTCCTGTGCCATCCTCCCAGTTTCTGCCATGTTGGAGGCCATCATTACGGTCGCTCTGTCAGTCCATTTCCTTGAGGGTCATCTGCTCCTCTACTGGTCCTCTCCTTTTCCCAGCATACATTCTTTTTTCCAAGGACTGCCCTTTCCTGATACAATGCCCACAGGATATGAGATGAGGCTCCACTGGCCTTGCTTCTGAGGAGCGCCTTGATTGCACTTCCTCCAAGATCGATTTGTTTTTTGGCAGTCCATGGAATGTATCATCATTACTCTCTGTTCACGCCGTTACTCAGAGACACCAGTCCTTTGGACTTCTTTATTGTCCACTTTCAGAAGCATGTTGTTGTTTGTTAGGTGCTGTAGAGTAGAGCATGACTCATAGTGACCCATGAACAAAAGATCTGAACTCTGTCCTGTCTTGCACCATCCCCACACTTCCTGACACTAGAACCAATTGCAGCAGTCACCATGTCAGTCCACCTGTTTGAGGGACTTCCTCTCTTTTGCTGACCCTCCACCCTTCCCAACATATTGTCCCTCTCCTCATAGTAACATGTCCAAAGTATGTGAGGTGAAATATCATCATTTTTGCCTCTAAAGAGCACTCCGGCTACACCCTCTCCAAGACATATCTGTTTGTTCTCTTGACTGGTCATGGGATGTTCAGTGCTCTTCTCCAACACCACAGCTCAAAGGCATCAATTCTCTTTCTGTCATCCTTTTTCATTGTCCAGCTCTCAAATGCATAGCAAGTAATCAGAAAGGCTATGGCCCGAATCAAACACACCTTAGTCTTCAAAGTCCTTTGTCCTTCTATTCAGAAGTATAGGAAGTGATTAAAAACGTCATGGCTAAGATCAGGCACACCTTAGTCTTTAAACTGACATCTTTGCTTTACCATATTCTTAGGTGTTACTAAATTATAATCTAGTCTTTATAAAAATCTTGCCAGTCAAAGGCACAAAGTTTGAGTCCACCGGCTGCTCCACAGGAGAAAGATGGGCAGTCTCCTGTTGTGTGATTTCCTGCCTCTGAAAACCCACTGAAGGGTCAGCTATGAGTCAGCTCTGACTTGATGGTACACAGCAGCAACAACACCGTAGAAGTGGTTATTCCTTCGTTGTGTCCATGAGGTGATGTAGTTCCTTGTTGTGACCGCTGGCAGCTGCAGAGTCATGAGCAGACTTAGGGTTCAGATCTGAAACTGACTTCGAAGCTTGTGATTTTTCCTCTCAGATGGTTCCGTTTTTCTAACATGGCTACCTAAGACCCTTGAGTCATGATGGCATTTGCTCATCAAAGCATTTTTTATTTCCAGCATTTCTATGGATACTAACTGGCTATTGAAAAAAAAAAAACAAACCCTCACAGCTTTTGTAAGTATTTCTGTCTTGCTGATTAAAAAACTCTCAGTTATATTTGCAGAACCAACGTGATGAACATGGATGGCATTGAGGCTGTGGGCTTAAGTATCCAGTTTTTGTTTAGGAACTGCCTAAGTTTCTCCTTTGAAGTTCACAGAATCCACAAGATTATTCAGTAGGAAAAGATAGTGTGATCCAACGTTCCTCTCTTATGTGAGCCGTCATCACGCTTCCTAATGAACCCTGTGCCTGTCAGGTCTTCTGTGGCCGTGTCCCCCTCATTTTGTCTCTGCATTTGTGCGAGGTTCATGTAAGTAGGATCATGCAGTGTATGTCCTTCTGCATTTGATTTCATTCACCCAGCATGTCTTCAGGGTTCATTACATTTACATGCATGAGAACCTCATTTCTCGTCATTGTCTTTGGGACTGAATACTATTCTGCTGGAGGTTTAAACCATATTTTGTTTATCCATTATGCATCTACTGATAGACATTAGGTGGCGTCTACTAGCTGGGTATTGTGAGGAATGCCACGGTTGGACTGATGTGCATATATTTGTCCGAGTCTCTGCTTTCAGTACTTTTGGGTCTGTGCCTAGTAGTGGGATTGCTGGGTCATATGGTAATTGTGTGTGATCATTTGAGGAATTTCTGGACTGCTTTCCAGAGCTGTCATACCAAGACATCTCCACCAGTATTGATGAGGTCTCTGATTTCTCCGTGTCTCTGCTGTCATTTGTTACTGTCTGATTTTCTGATTGTAACCCTCCCTGGCAGGGGTGAGGTGGTATCTAATTCTAATTTTTGTTTGCATTTTCATGGTGACTAATGACATTCAACATCATCTCACTTGTTAAGTGGCTGTCGGCATATTTCCTTTGGAGAAATGTCTGTTCATCTTTCACCTATTATTAAGCTCTGTTACTAAATTTGTCTTTTGAAGTTGTGAGGGCTCTTCATATGTTCTTGGCTTGGCTCCCCTTTCTTTGTGGTTCCCCACGTGTACCTGTGAGGTGCCCTCCTAACTGCTTGTGTGGGAGCACCCTGGCTGCCTTTGCTAGTCCCCACGTGTACCTGTGAGGTGCCCTCCTAACTGCTTGTGTGGGAGCACCCTGGCTGCCTTTGCTAGTCTACAGTGTTGGAGAAATCCAGTTTGTCTCCGTTTTCTTTTGCCTCACCTGCTTTCAGTGTCATATCTTATGTGTTTTGTTTGTTTCCTTTTTTAGAAGAATCAAAGGTGTCAGTTAGTTTCCATTGTTGCAGAAAAAGAATTAATGTAGTTCCTAGTAATTGTCCAGAGTGTGAACACCCAGATCCTAATATGTTGATGGATTTTTATTAACATCATAAGAAATGGCATTTGGCCGAAAATTACAACTGTAGTTTAAAATAAGTAAAAAATTATGTTTTAATTGAATGAAATACAATAATGAAAAAGAGAATCAGTACTATCAATTTTAAAGCATTTTATTCAATAAAATTCTTTCATGTTTTCCAAATTTTGCTCCATGTTTTCTTCTGTGCCTGGACACTGCCCCTTGTTGTTGACCTTCAGCAGAGTGGCTGATGGAAGAAGAAGTCAGGGGCCCCAGTGGGAGAGCTGGAGCTGTTCATTGGCTGAAGAGCTTGAGCTTGGATCATGCGATGTGAGGAGAAGGGACATGGTGTTAATTGGGATGTGTAAGGCTCTCTGCTTGAGGGGCAACAGACAGAGCAGTGGTTTCTAAATGATTATTTTTTTCCCCAGCACTTGGGCTCTAGGTGGACAACCTGACTCCCTGACTTGCTTTCTGTCAATGTTACAGATGGGGTTCACCAGTACGTTACTAGGAAAGAGGGCTTCTCTGTTGCAGTGAAACAGGAGAGTTGTCGAAGACAGAAATGGAAATGTGGCAGTGATTTTGACAGCTAGTTGAGAAAATCTCATTGTACTGGCTTTCCCCAAATCTGACTGCATACTTTTCATAAAAGATGCTATCCGAATATGTGATCAAGTTATCTAAACAGCATAAAAGGATACTTTATGCAGGCCAGTTTAAAAAGTATAGGTTTACCTTTTTATTTGAGTGACAGTTACAAATCATACCAGTTTTTCTCTATTATGTGTATTTTGTTTTATAACATTTACAACAACAGATCAATTAATTATGATGTATATAATGATTCTGTTTCTTGCCTTTGCCATTACCCAGCTCACACACATTTAACTTCTACAGCTTTCTACCTCCATTCCCATGTCCGAATGATTCTGTCTGTGAAAATCTTCCTTTGACTTTTTATATTGATGGCTTTATTCCATAATTGAGCCTTTGTGACTGACTTCTGTCACTCAGTGTAGTTTGTTCTAGCTTCATCCATGTTATGCTGTATTTCATAAATGATTATGTTTTAGAGATGCATAATTCTCTGTTGTGTGAATGTACCTTGGTGTCTTTATGCATTATTATCTGTGGACACATGGTTATTTTCAATGGTTTTCTCTTGTAAATAATGGTACAGTAAGCATGAATGTGCACGTATCAGTTCCTGTCACAACTCTGATTTCTATGGGATACATACCTAGTAGTTGGATTGCTGGATGAAATGGTTTTTCTGTGCCCATATTTCTAAGGAAGCACCAGACTGCCCTCCATAGTGATCATACTGTATCACGTGTCCCTGGCATGTGGGAATCGAGGCCAGGCTCATTTTGTGTGTGTTGCCATCTAATGTGTGACTTCACCTTGGTTCTGGGGTAAATGGTGTTCGCATGTTTAGAGCTCTCATCTGTTCTTGTCCTTCACAGGTGATGTGTTCAGCTGAGGCACTGTAACACGGACATTGCCACCCTTGGTCCCTGATGAACTCTGAGAAGAAGCCTGAGGGTGATGAGGATGAAAAGCCACCCAGCAATGCACCAGACCCGAGTTGGGTGCTCTGCCCCAGTGCAGACCATGTGCCCCCACCCCGTGGGCCCGCAGAGCCCTGTCTCCAGGAGACCTGCTCGGGTTCCGGGCATGGAGACCAGCCATCCACCAGCAAAAGGGGGTTTGCAGAATTGTCCCGCCTGGACACTGCTGTGCTGGAGGAAGACAGCAGCAGATATGCTTCCAAGAGGATGAGATTGGAGGAGGCCGAGTCCCTGACGTGTGCAGAGCCGGGTGTGCAGACAGCCCCAGCCCCAGGGACCAGCCGAGAGGACAGCACCCAGGACCACTTGACTGCAGCCTCAGGTGTCAGCGCTGCTCAGGACACTCTGGAAATGGATCCTGAAAGGCAGTCAGCTCTGCAGGGGCCTGTCCTCGCCCCGGAAGGAGACGTCCCTTTCCCTCTGCAGGAGGTCAGCGTGAGCTGCACTGGGGTGAGCCTAGACCCCGCTCCTAGATGTGACACCTGTGGCCACCTGTTGGCCTCTAGCTCCGACCTGGACAAGCGTGCCGAGTGTCCCCCACAGCTGTCCGTGGAGCATGCCTGGTGTCACTGTGGTCACAGGGCCGAGAGCTTGGACCTGCAGCTACAGGCCACCCGCACTCACATGCCCTCCACCTTTTCCTGTGACTTGTGTGGCTTCCAGTGTGCCAAGGAGGGCCTGCTGAGTGCGCACCGCCGCAGCAAGATGCACCTGCGCCGCCAGGACCTGGCTGCACGCAGAGGCTTCGTGCAGGTGCTCAGTAAGCCAGCCCTGCCCAGGAGGCCCAGTGCCCTGGGTGCGAGGACTGCCCGCCCCAGGCCTAGAGCGTCTAGGGACAGGGACAGCGACATAAGAGCGCAGCGTGCTGCAGGCGCGGGTGAGGAAGACAGCAGTCACAGTGCCATTGGGCAGGGTGCCAGTGAGCCACTGCGTGAGATGTGGCCGTCCAACATGACTTCTTCACAGCAGCCAGCAGTCCCTAAAGAAAGTGTCACCTCCCTTGGCCAAGCTCAGAATCCTGAAAGCCCAAGCAAGACCCCGAGCACTTCGATCCCCTCTGAGAGCCTCTGTCACACGTCGGAAACCGGCGGAAGTGCTGTGCAGACCGCACACAGCCTCACCAGGCCTCGAGCAGAGCGCCTGATCCTGCTGGGGAATGGCTTCCGGCGGCGAGGGGGCACCTTGGCCTTGAAAGGTCAGGCCAAGAAAAGGTTCAGTCTCTTGGGAATGAATAAAAGAGGCACGAGTGAAACCCAGCGCCTCTATGTAAAACATTTCAGAAGACCCACGAGAGTAAGTGATGTCCAAGTAGCAGCGAAGCAGGCGGGACCGGCCAGCAGTGTCCTGAGCGTGCGTGTGGCCACCGTGGATGCCCAGGAGCTGAGGCAGGACGCAAGCACTGCTCACCTGAATGCCGAGCAGCCACTGCCGGACCCCTCCGCACTGTGGACATGTGCAGACTGTGGTCACACGGCTGCCAGCAGGCCTGAATGGGACAGCCCTGTGGACAGGTGCCAGGCCAGAGCAGGCCGCATGCGCTGCCCGACGTGCGCCTCCTCGGCTGCCTCGAGTCAAGACGGCAGCGAGCGTCAGCGCCCGGCTTCCCCGCTCATCTGCCATTGCTGCTCCTTTGTCACTGAGACCGAGTCAGTGCTTCATGGCCACATGAAGGAGAAGCACGGGCTGGGCTTCCGCTGTGCCCCTTGCGATCGCTTCTTTGTGACTCTGAAGGACTTGGACACACACAGAACCACGGAGAAGCACCTCAGCCTGTCGGGTCAGCTGCAGACAGCACCATCTCTCGACAGTGGCCTGGAGCTGCAGACTGGAGCACCAGCTTCTGCAGAGCAAGAGAGCAAGGGAGGTCCCGGAAGCCAGGTGAGGGGTGCAGCTCAGGATGAAGCCAGGTCCCGGGTGAGCAGTGGCAGTGAAGTAAGGCACTTGGCTTTAGGTAAGCCCCAGTTCCAGTGTAAGAAGTGTTTTTATAAAACCAGATCTTCCACGGTCCTCACACGGCACATAAAGCTTCGGCATGGCCAGGACTATCACTTCCTGTGTAAAGCATGTAACCTTTATTCACTGAGTAAAGAAGGAATGGAGAAGCACATTAAAAGAAGCAAACATCTTGAAAATGCTAAGAAAAATAATATTGGCTTAAGCTTTGAAGAATGCATTGAAAGAGTATGTATAGGTGCAAATGACAAGAAAGAAGAGGTGTCCATGCCTGGGAGTGGAAGGACCGAGGGCCAGGGGGAGGGCACAGAGTCCCAGGAGAAGGAAGTGCTGATCAGTAGGGAGCCAGCGCAGTCTGGGACAACCAAGGATAATGGAGTGACTTTGACCAGCACCCCAAAGAGAGGGAGACCCAAGGGTAGTGTCTCGAGGACGTGTTCACACTGTGGCCTCTTGGCCTCTAGTATCACAAACCTGACTGTCCACATCAGACGGAAACACAGTCACCAGTACAGCTATCTCTGCAAAGTGTGCAAGTATTACACAGTGACCAAGGGGGACATGGAACGTCACTGCGCCACCAAGAAGCACAAAGGGCGCGTGCAAGTGGAAGCTAGTGGGCAGCGGAGTTCAGACATTGTTGTCTGCCCTGAGGGGGGCAGTCTGGAAGCCTGCAGAAAGACCACCAACCTGACTGGCACCGGTCCTGATGAGCATGCGGCCAAGTCAGCCGCCCCCGGTGTGCCCCTTCCAGCAAAGGTGGGAGTAGACCATGGAGACCCCGTTCAAGGCCAAGGTGAGAATGTGTCCCCCCCTGTGGATGGGGAAGTTAATAGTCACCTTGCTGAGAAAAGGGAAGAAGTGCCTCTTGAGCCCAAAGACCTGGTCCAGGACGGGGAGGCACGTTCCCAGAGAGAGGTGACAGGGACTAGTGACAATAAGTGTGCACACTGTGAGTTTCACACACACTCTGCTGCTTCTCTGGAACTTCACGTCAAACGGAAGCACACGAAGGAGTTTGAGTTTTATTGCATGGCCTGTGATTACTATGCAGTCACTCGGAAGGAGATGACCAGGCATGCAGCCACAGAGAAGCACAAAATCAAAAGGCAGTCTTATCTGAACTCTGCTGATGCAGAGACCATGTCCTCAGAATTGTCCAGAAGCATTGTCATCACTGAAGAGGGGCAGCAGCAAAGTTCTGAAGAGTTCCAGATTGTCCTGGAGCCTTCGTCAGAAAGCTTCAAGTCCAGAAACGCCACTGATGGCTCGTCTTCGGATGCACACACTCACGTCGGTGTGGTCAAAGTGCTCTGTGGCCCTGAGTCAGTAGAAATTGAGACTGAAGCCGACTCTAATCTCAGCAAAGAGCAGCCCGTTTGCCCGATTCTCCGGCTGCCCCTTGTCAAGAATAAAGTTGTACAGCCTGAGGATCTTGTGTCCCTAAACCTTTCCTCCTCCCCTAGCTCCCTCAGTGGACTTCAGAATGTCCACCCAGGAAGCCCGTTGTCCACTCAAGAGGTAGCCAGGGAGAACCGTGTCCCCAGGGCCCATGGTGAGAGCCAGAGTAGGGGAGCTGGCTCAGGGGAGCACACCATGATGGACGTCCCCAGAGAGTTCCTGGCCCAGGTCGGCAGCGAGCAGAGAGCCTTGGGAGCCGTGCCGTCCCCAGGGGGTACCCCTGTTCTGCAGACGGCCGTGCATCTGGAAGCTGGGGTGGTGGAGGGGGGCCTGACTGCAGACAGTGCTGTGGAAAGCAATGACGTTTATGAGACTATAATCAGCATCGATGACCGAGGGCAGGCACTGGACACTTTCGGCCGCTTTGATTCCTCCATCATTAGGATAAAGAGCCCCCAGGAAGGTGACCTGATGGGCCGGCCCGAAGAAGGCCTGGCAGCACCCGGCATGAGGCTCAGCGAGCTGCCCCCCAAAGAGCCCACGAATGGCATGAGGAAGAAGAGGCCGGATGGTGGCTGTTTTGGAGACTCCACACGGATCCGTTGTGATGACTGTGGCTTCTTGGCAGACGGCCTGAGCGGTCTCAATGTACACATTGCCATGAAGCACCCCACCAAAGAGAAGCACTTCCACTGCCTGCTGTGCGGGAAGTCCTTCTACACCGAGAGCAACCTGCACCAGCACCTGGCCAGTGCTGGGCACCTGCGCAATGAGCAGGCCAGTGTGGAGGAGCTGCCCGAGGGCGGCGCCACCTTCAAGTGCGTCAAGTGCACTGAGCCCTTCGACTCGGAGCAGAGCCTGTTCTTGCACATCAAAGGCCAGCACGAGGAGCTGCTGCGCGAGGTGAACAAGTACATCGTCGAGGACACGGAGCAGATCAACCGTGAGCGGGAGGAGAACCAGGGCAGCGTGTGCAAGTACTGTGGGAAGATGTGCCGCAGCAGCAACTCCATGGCCTTCCTTGCCCACATCCGCACGCACACAGGTACGTAAGCCGCAGGCCAGGCTACCAGGGGGCCCCCATCCCGACCACATCTGCACTATGTAAGCCGCAGGCCAGGCCACCGGGCCGTCCCCATCCTGACCACATCCACACGCACACAGGTACGTAAGCCGCAGGCCAGGCCACCAGGCCGTCCTCATCCTGCCCAGCTTCTGTGCACACCTGTGCACACTTGGGCTGAGGCCCTCCTGACACGGCAAGTGCCCAGGCCAGCAGTCCTAGGTCTTGTTCGTCCTGCTCTGAGTCCCTGATAACATTCCCAAGTCCTGGTAATGGCAAAGCTGTAGAAACTTGATGGGGTCCTGTCAGAAGGTGTTGAGCCTCCTCCCGCTTTGCAGACGTTTCTAGAGCTCAATCATTGGGCTTTCCAAAGGAGTCTGTTGGTTAAGTGACACATTGTGTATTTAAAGGACATGTTGAATGGCTTTGAGACTTGTAATGAGATGAAATTTCTCCCAGTATATGGGATTTATAAGTGCTCACTGTCCTGAAGTTTGATTTTCAGACATGTGACTCCCAGGTCCCCGAACCCCCCAGGAATCACATTGGTTGGTGGCTCTGGACACATGGTTTAGTTTTTGTGCTCAGTCACTTTTGGTGTTCCATGTTAATGTTTAATTTTAAGTAAAAATTAAAAAAAATATTTTTTTTGGTGGAAAATGCATAAGCCTTTCTAAATTTATGTAAAAATTCCCTTCACTGTTTCTATAAACCTGCCATACATTCTTTATTTTAAATAGACAGCTTTTCTAAATCACTGTGCTCTGCTTAGACAAGTTCTGTCTCCTTGGTAGAATTTATGAGTGGATTTGAATAATAAATTCACATTTCAATGAACATATTTTCATTAAAACTGTAAGGTTTATTTTACTGTACTTTTAAATAATGGCTTATTATTGAAGCTATACTTTAAATTCATGCAGTTTTTGAAACTTCGTGCATGGTTACAGGGAGGAAGACAGAAAAGTATCAAACATTATTAATAGTTCATTGTGATTAAAGAGAGATCAAAGTTTTTTATTGAAGAGAGTCACTAAGTGACCTCTGGAAGACTGATGCCTATGAAGGTAACCGTGTGCGTGTGTGATCGCAGGAGGCAGCGCTGAGGACCATGCCCATGTCCTGTCCCTCAAGGTTTCAGCACCTCTCTGTGCACCATGTTGCCGGCCACTGGGAGAACAGTCAGGGTTTCAAAGCAGCTCCTTCACCTGCACAGAAAACATGGACTTTCTTAATATGCCTCTGAAGGCAGATAGAGCGAAATAAAACGAAGAGGAAGACGCTAATGGAGCTCTTTTTAGAATTCTTTATGCAACTGTCTGGTCAAGACATGTTGCTTATAATTGATGTGTCCATTACTTGAATTCTCTTGTAATTATAGTCAATAAGTCTTGTAAATGTGTTAAAGCTCACTAAAAGCATACAAATTCCAGAACAGAGTGAGGCTAATAATTTAAAATAATCAATGTAGGCATTTCAGCACTTAATTTCCCTTGTGTGTTGATAGCTGATCATTCTTAATCCATTAAGATTTATTTAGTCGTTTACAATGCAAAATAGGCTTGCACTGGTCACTCGTGCCATTTGGAAATGTCTACCAGGTTAAGTGCAGAATGTAGTCCATTAGTCTTCCTTGACTATATGTATTAATTGCATTTAAAATCAAGTTAATGTGGATGTGAAAGTGAGGTAACTATCAATATGTGACAGAGTAACCCTACTTATATAAGTTACATCATTGATTGTAACATTTAGTAAAAGTTAGCAGACTTCTTTAACATCTTGTGTTGATCTTATCAGCAAGTGCGTTTTTATTGTACTCTGAAGTGGCTTTTAAAAGAGCCCTGTGCATGAGTGCATGGGACAGATCTGCCATTTCCATCTTACACACCATTTTTGGAGAAGTTGCCATCCAGGTTTTAAGCCAAGTTAGTTTTTTCTGCCCCCTCCTGGAGCACCTTCAAATGAATTGCTTTTCTGATACTTTGCTTATGTCCACCAAGCAGTAATACAGACACAGTTATTAATGGTTAACTGGAAAAGGGCTTACTCTTCCAGTCCCTGTTTTCATATTTTGTGATTTACTATATGTTTTGTGTAACCTTCTCCTTCCATCCTCAGCACGCTAAGAGTGCACTCTTCGAGATAAATGAGTCTTGGTTTAGGAAGGGCCGCAGAAGTTCCCTGAGCCCATGTCTGTCTGCGGGAGCTTTCCTCCTCCACATCCCGAGAGGGGCTGCTGCACAGTGGCCCTGTATCCTCTTGGTGGGCTGTGGATCTCAGTCTCCTCTGACTCCTTCCTCAGGAGTAGGAGGCCTTTCCTTTCACATTCGCTGTCCCTCAGAGCTCTCTGTCCTCAGAGCGAGCCTCCAGGTGGGGCCTGTGAACGGCCGCTCCCCTGACAGCCAGCCAGTCAGGGCTGTGAGCTTTGAATCTCGGGCCACGAGACCCCAGAAGGCAGACCTCGTGAGCATGGATAAAGAGGAGGGCCACCAGTGGTTCCTCACTGTAGTGGGGACGGGGCAGCCACCTCCACCTCTACATCTTTAGAAATGGCACTCCTGTGATGGGGACCCATGGACAGACGGCCCGGCGGAGGGCTGTCGGCTCACTGTTTGCAGGTGATACCCACGAAGTCGTAGTCTTCAGTAATTGCTGATCACCGTCCTGGGCCTGTGTACGGCAGAGTGGCGCTCCCAGCGTCATTGGGAGTCTTGTGCTCAGTGATAAGGCACCAGGAAGCTGGGCTGCCTTGGTTTTTCTCTCTTAAAGAGGCTCAGTAGGGTCAACTGAGGGCTGTGCTGGTCCCTGGATGGCAGCCACTTGGTATCTGAGCTAATGAGAATCAGAACATACCTGAGATAAGGACAAATGGGGGAACATGTCCTTTTACACATTTTGCCGTATGAATGCGATTCTTGGATCTTATGTAGAATGCAGAGAACAAGTGACAAATTGAAATAGTATCAGTTAAAATACAAAAATGAAGTCAGGTTTTGCTTGTACAGATGAAATGATCTCCATGCTGCTAGTGTTTTCATTTTCCTGGTGCAGAATGGAGTTGTTACTACTCTGAACAGAAGGTATTAATAGTCAAAGGCTCAGTGATTTCTGGATGGGGGCGGTCAGCAAAATAACTTTCTGTGTTGTTCACACACCGTGGCTATGGTCACCAAAACCTGAGGGCACTAGAGTTATCCTCAACGGAGCTGCCGGCAGTGAAGTGGAGATACTGAGGGCCTGTCCTTCCCGGTTCTTCCTGTGGCCAGTTGGACTGAAAGGGGAACTCTGCTCCAGCTTAATTGTTGACTTTGAGAAATGAAGGCTCAAATCCGCTACGTATTTGAAATCCTCCGTTAATCACAATTGCAATACAAATATTGGGAGAAAGCTTTGTCTTCTTTATTTGAGCACTTGGTATTTTTGTTAATTACTAATTTCCTAGTTACTTTATTATCTTTAATGCATTTTACTTTATAAAATGCAAGTGATTTGGTTCTTCTTGATTCCCCACCCCCACCCCCGAAGTTCCTTTATGGAATCTGTGGTTATGAAATGCTTCATAGTGAGATGCTCGGTCTCATCAGGACCATTTAGATAAACTGTAGTTTCTAATGTGATTGATAGAATGTGATTGCTATAAGCTGCAGTCTCAACCTGCTTTTGACATTTAAACATATAAAGCTGACGAGATAGAACCATTCAGGTGCTAAATATATTTTACATCTACTTCCCACAGTAGAAATGGGAGTATTAAGAGATCTAGCTTCATTGTCACTGAACTGTGAAATATTCAACCTTGTCTGCTAGTGCTTAGTACTGTTGACTTTTTTATTTCTGTGTGAAGATTAAAATTAAATGCTTCACTTTTTTTTGTCAGCTTTTGGGAATTAAATTGAAATTTAAGACTAAAATTTTTTACCGAGTGCTTCAATTTCAACAAAGTATTCTTGGAGGACTCACCCCCCCCCCCCACTTCCCCCAAGGGCATGCCAGAAGATTCATTGATCAAATATGATTTAGTACCGTTTTAAAAATTTGAGCTCTTTTTTGTGTTTATTAACTTGAACTCTTTTTCTGTTTTGTATATTTATGTCTGATTATATTGGGAGAGGTGACTCACCAGATATGCACTAAATATGATACAATCTGGAAACCTTTTTTGTATGGATTTCTGAAGTGTGATTTTCCTAATATTGATCTATGTGTTTGAATTAGTGGTTAGGAAATTGGAGAGTGAGTGTATTCATTCCATCTTAACAGAGTGAAGCTTCTTGGTGATGCAGACACCGAGGACCCGTCAGCAGCCAGGTCTCACAGTCTGTCTGTTATTACTGACAAGGAGTTTAATTTCATCTTAATTTCTTTAAGAAATGATTTAAAAATTTTTCTGTTAGTGTTGTATTTAAATATTTGTGAAAGAAATCATAGCTACAGTATCAATATTTGTGGCTTGCAGAATCATCACCAATTTTTGACTATAAAATGGTCATAAAAACATGATTTATCTTATGTATATCCATTCAGTGTCATGAATCATTTGGGATCAATGACAGAAAAATCTAAAATGACATTGTTAATGTGAATACATTCAAAGCCAGGGAGAGGGGGAGGCAAGACATTACTTGGATGATAAATATCCTTTTAAAAAATACTAGCTTCCCTGAATGCATGTATGACTTTAAAATGCCTCATTTTGAATGTTGAGTTTTAAAATGTATTCTTTATGATCTATAAGAAAAATAGTTTAAATTATTTTGCTCTTCTCATGTATTTAGTTCTGCCATTTATGTCACTTTTGACTTTAAATTTCATAATGCTGTTTAAATTTAGAGATGTTCCTTGCCACATTAGAGTCTTCTAGATGGCACAATTATGGAATACTGGTCCACTCAGAGGAGCATTGGTTGAAGCTCTGGACTGGTAACTGAAAGGTCAGGAGTTCACACCCACCACCTGCTCTACGGGAGCGCAGTGCAGCAGTCTTCTATAAAGATCGTGGCCTTGGTAACTTCTAGGGCAGTTATCTATGGCCTTGGTAACTCTGTGGGTTGTTTGATCAATGAGTGTAAGTGTTCCATTTTGGGAACAGAAATACTTTCATAAAGGTTTGATTTAAGACTTAGCCCTCTTTTTAAGCTATAAATGATGCATTATTTAAATTCAAATAATCTTTTATGTTAAATTTGCTTAGGATCAAAACCATTCAAGTGCAAGATATGCCATTTTGCAACAGCTCAGCTTGGAGACGCCAGAAACCATGTGAAAAGGCACCTTGGGATGAGAGAGTACAAGTGCCACATCTGTGGGTGAGTACCTGGGTGGCCCTCCTCAGAGGACCTGTAAGTCAGTGCAGAGCACCCATTGTTTCAGGACTCAGCACTGATAGGACCAGGAGTGGTGAAAATTATGCGTGCAGGTCCTCTTTTTCATTGTTATGGTAAATTCCTTAAATACAGTTATGACATCCTTCTCCCACTTTTAGTCCTCCACTGAAGATGAGCAATTTATGGGCTACAAGGTCAATTTGAACCTGTAATCTGTAAATTGACTAAATTATAGGATGTTCATTCACATTGCCAGAGAGAACCATAAACCCCATTTGTTGTAGTTCGGCGTCATCGAGCTGGTTCCGACGCCCAGTAACCCCAGCACAACCCTGCCTGGTTCTGTGCCATTGTCACGGCATTACTGGGTCTCAGGGTAGATTCTGCGTACGATGTAGAAATACTTGAAGCAGACAGGCATATGTATAGTTCATTTTTGTGCACCCTGCTTTAATTTTCATCACATTAATGAATCTTTGGTTTCATTAGGCACATTCTGTAAGGAAAAGGAAAAAAAGACTCAATTTTAACCAGCTGGCCACTAATTACTATAGAGACGCAGTCTGAAAAAGTGTTTCGAATGTATGGTTCGTGTAACTTTATTTCAGAAGCTCTTTCCCTTTCCTTGTTAATGGTTATTCCCTTTGAACAATCAGTCATAATGTTTAATTGTCACTCAAATGTATGTTGTCTTAAATAGGAAGCACCGAAATGCGTAGTCCAAGACTAAATTAATTTAGCAGAAGTGTTTAAAAGGATTTAAACCACCATGATGCGTATAGTATTTCGTTAGACTTTCAGAGTTGGTTAACAAACATACTTTAATATTATTCTGCTAGAGAAAGGAGCTCATGTGAGCACTTGATGAAAACACCGTGTGTGGAATCAGAACCTGTAGTCCTCTGGACCCATTCACATGATAGCCTGGCTCCAGTTACACGGTACAGTGTATGTTGCTGTTTTAGGTTCACCTGCGTGTAGGATTTCTCAGTTGGCAGTGTGGGTAGAGACCTCAGAAGTCCTCAACAGCTCTGATTTCTGTTGGACTGTGCACCTCACCCTGGCCTGCAGCTGTGCTTTTTGACCCTCTTGATAGTTTCACAAAAAACTTTGCAAGCAGTTTTATTAACGACAGCCCTGATTTAGTCATTGGCAGGAGTGAAGGCTCACCGACTGGCAACTGAAGTAAATGAAGATGCACCCTGGCCTGAAACCCTGCTGCTGATTGGTAGCCGGGTGACTTCTGTTACTTCTCACGTTAGGCTGTCAGGGTCAAGTGCCAAATGCTTTATTTTAATTGCTCTAGGCCTTGGAATTTGAAAAGATGCCTCATTTATTGTTTTTACCATATGAATTAGAGCTAAGAGGAAGGCTTGACTCCAGTGGAAATGTGCCATCCGGTGGCACCAAGCAGGTCTTTGTGAGTTTCTGTGAAATAAGCAAACCACTTATCCACTTTGTGGGCTACTAAAGCATAAGAGGAAGAGATGAAACCCGTCTGGGCAGCAGTTTCTGACATATGCAGCATCTAAAACAATGCATAATTCATGGTCCTTAATTGTATAATTTGAATAGTGCGTACTCGGTTTAGCTGACTGTTTGCCACATACCACCCAGTGTTGCACCAGTAGTCTCTATTTGATACAGAAGATAGAGAATTACAAATAAGTCTATTTAAGTTGAATATTATGATTATTCTAGCATTCCAAAGTTACATGCAAACATGAACAATTCTCATCTTTCAAAAATGTATCTCTTACTATTATTATCATGATTAAATTTTATCTGAAATAGCAACATCCTTTTTCTTATATTTGCTTTTATATTGAACAGTAATTTTAAAATTAGAATAACAATATTCTGACAGTGAAGGTAAAAGTACTTTGTGGTTTGGTGGTTTGTTTGTTCTTTTTCTCTTCTTGCAGAGATTTACAGACTCACTTAGTGAGTTGCCAAAGACTGCATGGCAGTGTGTTTAGTTTATGGATAACCTGATTATATTCTGCTTTCATTATTGTTTTCTCTGAAAAGCCTCCTTGGCATTTGAGGTCCGTGTACTGTAGAAATGAGTTTGATGTGTCTGGGTTTTAAATACCTAACTGATTGAATGTTAGGTTGCTGGCTCTTTTTGGGCTGTATTTCCCTCTTATCTCCTCAGTTTATAGCAAACCAATAGTGATGAATACCAAGCAGGTGTACTCTTTTCAAAAAACAGTTATGTAAAAACAAACAAACAAAACAAAACAAAAACAGTTATGTGATATGCAAATATACATAATTAGCAATCTGATTTTTTTATGCACTTTTGAACACTTGAAGTGGACTTAAGAGTGGCAGCTAATCTTTAGCATGAAAAAGAGGACTTGATTCATTACTCGCAGCCCCTCCATTGGTCGAGCCTGGCTCGTAGAGATCCTGCCTCCAGTTGCTAATGTTGCTGCAGGTCATTGCGAAGGGAGATTCCCATCTTTCCCCCTTAGAGGAGCCGATGGATTCAAACTGCTAACCTTTAGTGAACCCACCATGTTACCAGAGCTTGCTCTTGTAGAACTGAAAGGTCTGGAGGGTTGTTCCCTATTCTGTATTTCATAGAGTCAGGGTCTCCATAACTTGAAAATTGAAGTGGAGAGTAAGAAATTGTAGGGAGTTGGCTGAGATTGGTGGCCCTGGAGCTTTTGGGACATTAACGCCGCTGACAACGTCAATTCATTATCATTGATGGCTGAGTCATCTCAGAAATGCTCGCTGGACCTATTAGTTCCTGAGCATAAGCAGCTCATGCTGCATTTCTTCATTAGCTTTAATTGCTATAAATTTTACCTTTTACGAAATCATGCTTTAAAAGGTGAAGTGATCTTTCAGGAACATTAGCTACATAATTTTGTCACAAACATAGGCCCTGCCCTGTGTTTTCTTTCCAGTAGTAGATAATATCTAAGTCTTTGGACTATTAGAATTGGGAGTTGTGTGTTGGGGTGGTTCTGATTCACTTAACAATGAGTGCAGATAGTGGGTCAGGTGCATGTTCAAGGGGAAGTTGTTTTCATGGTGCTGGCCCCCCTTTCCTCATAGTGACTCGGTTTTTGTGAAAGACCTAACATCATGTGATGAATTTAATGGAGACAATAAACTTGAAGACATGATCAGAATGCATTTTGGGGAACAGAGTTCATGGCTAATGCCTTAAATGAGTTGACTTTGTACCGTTCTCTAGATAAGAAACTTCAGGTGCTCCTGGACTGAATGTCTTGTATTTTCTGCTGAGGCTTAGTTTTAAGCTTTGCCATAGCAACTTTCTTAACAAAAACTGCCTTTTAAACCTTTATACAGGTTGTTTGGCCGTAAGCGGATTGTCTCTGCATCTTAAAAGATCAATTTTAAGATACTATTTTTCCTCATTGGCAAATAATGCCTACAAATCTATCATGGATTTAAGGTTAGTGTGACATAAGCAGTCAGACATTAGCTGTCTGATTTCTAGTACGTACGTAGCTAGGATTCAGAGGTCAGAGTTTTCGGTTTGCTTTGCTATAGATTATGAGCTCGCTCACGGTAAACATTGACAGAAAGACTCATTATTTTATGCCTCATATTTTAAGTACCTGTTATAGGTCACTGAGGAAAAACTAGTTGTTTTTACTTTCAGTTTTAGGAGAAACAGTTTTGAATAAGAAAATTTCATAAGCAAATTTCTCTTGAGTTTGAATGTTACCGCAGGAGGAATTCTGTCGGTGAGCCTCGTCTTTGTGCACTTGAGCACTTCCTTGACAGGGAGTTAACTGCAAGTCTGCTCTAGGTCTGACATGGGCCTTGGTGGAGGAGAAAATAAGAAATTACAGGAAGCATTGCTTAAAGAGACTCTTACCATTTTTGTTAGGAACCGAAGCATAAAAATAAGCTAAGCAAACATTTTAATAACTCCATACTCTTTGTGTTTTTCAGTATTTAAGAACCTGAAAAATCTTTGTGGTTTAAAAAGCTTCATTAGACACAATATTATGCTAAATTCTTTTAAATTTATTTTTTAAAAAAACTGTAATTTTTTGCTTTATGTATATGTACATTGTTACATATGTACTGTCTGTCCTGTCCTGTGCTCCATAGTGTTATTTGATGTGTGCTTTAGTCAGCAGTTACCATGTTGAAAATCTTTGTAGCTTCATGAGCTACTTTGTCATTCTCACTCTGTAGAAGGAAGTTTGAAGTTCAAAGGCGATTGTCTCTCTCTCTCTCTCTTTTTTTTGCTACTGACTTTAATTTGTACATTTTTTCCTCTCTAGTTTGTTTTCAGTAACAGGTAATAATTTTAGCTTCCTGCTTCCCCCTCCACCCCCTACTTTGTACTTTAGTCTGTCTTTACTCAGATGTACGTTTTCAGAATTGCTTGAATGATCTTTCACATTTGTATTCTGTTATTCAGTCTCAGTTCTTATATCTCTTTTTGTGTTTCATTTTTCCCATTGCATAAGTATTGTTTTAAATAATTTTACTATTTCCACTGTGCTTTGTATGTTGACAGCTGTACTGGACAAAATGCAAGTGCTGGCATAATAGAAAGAGTGAAGTATCAAGAACATTGTATCATTTTTTTTCCTTAGCATGAGAGGACTAAAATTTATCAACTTGAATTAGAGATGTTGTCTTTCTAACTAGGTATCTTTAAAAAGTTAGAGAGTAGGATGATTTATTTTTAGCAGAAGAGAATGCTTAACCTTTGTGTGCATAACCCAGAGGGTAGCTAGCCCCTTCTGACAGTGCTGGTCCAGAGACTGCATGGTCCTGTGGGGTTTGGTTTGCCTGTGTCTAATCCTGGTTCTTCTGTACATAGAATTTACCTCGTCAAGAGATAATCAAGACATTTTCCAAATTGGTCCCCTCTGGGTTCCTGAAGATTTCAGGGTTTTTCTAGTTATCTATAATATGCTTACAAAATGTTTATTCCTGGTGGGTTTAGGAGACCTTAAATAGAAAGTTATTAATGC